ACTCAAATAAACATTTAAACATAGTGAAAATCATAGATTAATACTAAAATCAGAAGGAAAAGCCGTTTTTGAAAAGGGGTCAAGAAACCATAGTTTGAAGACGAAGAGTCGTCTTAGAAGAAATCGGAGAAATCCTTAAGAAAATAGTAAAGATAACTCAAAAGATTCAGAGGGAGATAACCCAAAGATAAAAAGATTCCGACCTAGAAACCATGGGTCTAGCCAGAAAATATAAAGATCTTACTCGGACAGGCCAAGATTGGCCTGAGAATGACATGAAAAACCATGGGGTGAGTTGAACCGCCTCTGGTTCCTTGAGGATCTCAGGGTAGCAAGAATCCGGCATGGGGGGGCATGGAGGCTAGGGGTGGTGGTGAAACCACCATAGATACCGGCGAGCCAACGACCGGTGAGCAGAGAGACCTTGAGAGAATGAGAGATGTAACGGCAGAGAGAATGAGAGGGAAATGAGGGTTTGTGGGGGTAGTCTATTAGGTTAATTAAGGAAGGAATTAACCTGGACCGTTGATAAAAAATGATCAACGACCAGGATCTGGGCGGACTTGGGTCGGGTAGAATTTAGGTTTTGGGCCTGGGGTACTGGGCTGATTTAATTGGGTTGGGATCTAATTCAATTAGGCTAGAATTGAAATGGGAATTGGCTATTTGTTAAATACCCAATTTGAATTAAATAAAACAATTTATAAAAATAGCTGATAATTGTAAAAAATGAATTTTATGCATGGAAGTAGTTAAAAATGATTACTTAGTATTTAAAAAATACAAATGATTAATTTTCGGTAAAAAATAGTATAAAATCATATGATTGGGCTAGAATTGCAAAGTTATTGCAATTGTAGCCAAACGATGCCAATTTTGCTAATTATAAAATAATTTGGTTTAAATAGGACCATAAATAATAAATCAAATCAAGAAATGCTTTTGAAGTCATTTGTAATGGCATTTTGTAATTATTTATTGGAAATAAAATGCTGGGTAAATTAATAAAAATATAGAAAAATTATGGAAAAATACCAATTGCTATTAATGCATGATTTTGAAGGTATATGTGCCATTTATAAATATTTTGGGAAAAATTGGGTATCAACAACCATTGGTAATGATGGGGTGTTGAGGATGCAGGGCTGGATTTGTGTGCCCAATGTGGATGGGCTTCGGGAGTTGATTCTGGAGGAGGCCCATAGCTCGCGGTATTCCATTCATCCGGGTGCCGCGAAGATGTATCAAGATATGAGAAAACATTATTGGTGGAGGAGTATGAAGAAAGATATTGTGGGATTTGTAGCTCGGTGTCTCAATTGTCAGCAGGTGAAATATGAGCATTAGAGATCGGGTGGCTTGCTTCAGCAGATGGATATTCCATAGTGGAAGTGGGAGCGGATTACCATGGACTTTGTAGTTGGGCTCCCACGAACTTTGAAGAAGTTCGATGCTATTTGGGTTATCGTGGATCGCCTGACCAAGTCCGCGCACTTCATTCCTATTTGTACTACCTATTCTTCATAGCGGTTGGAAGAGATCTATATCCGAGATATTGTTCACTTGCATGGTGTCCCAGTTTCCATCATTTTAGATAGGGGCACTCAGTTTGCTTCACAGTTTTGGAGGGCCGTGCAACGAGAGTTGGGTACTCAGGTTGAGCTGAGCACAGCTTTTCACCCTCAGAAGGACGGGCAGTCCAAGCACACTATTCAGATATTGGAGGACATGTTGCGCGCTTGTGTGATTGACTTTGGTGGTTCATGTTATTAGTTTCTACCGCTCGTGGAGTTTTCTTATAACAACAGCTATCAGTCGAGTATTCAGATGGCTCCATACGAGGCTTATATGGGAGGCACTGTAGATCTCCAGTTGGATGGTTCGAGTCGGACGAGGCCAGGCTTTTGCGTATCGACTTGGTGCAGGATGCTTTGGACAAGGTGAAGGTGATTCAGGAGCGGCTTCATACAGCGCAATCGAGACAAAAGAGTTATGCTTATAGGAAGGTTCGTGATGTGTCCTACATGGTTGGGGAGAAGGTTCTATTGAAGGTTTCACCCATGAAGGGTGTTATGAGATTTGGGAAGAAGGGTAAATTGAGTCCCTGGTTTATTGAGTCTTTTGAGGTGCTCCGGAGGATTGGTGAGGTGGCTTATGAGCTTGCTTTGCCACCCAGCTTGTCGAGTGTGCATCTGGTCTTTCATTTTCTATGCTCCGGAAGTATATTGGCGATCCTTCTCATGTTTTAGATTTCAGCACGGTTCAGTTAGACAGTGATTTGACTTATGATGTTGGGCCAGCGGCTATTTTGGAGTGTCAGGTTTGAAAGTTGAGATCGAAGGATATAGCTTCAGTGAAAGTGCAGCGGAGAGGTCGGCCCGTGGAAAAGGCCACTTGGGAGACCGAGTGGGAGATGCGGAGCCGATATCCTCACCTATTTGAGACTTCCGGTATTTTTCTTGACTCGTTCGAGGACAAACATTTGTTTAAGAGGGGGAGGATGTAACGACCCAGCCGGTCGTTTCATAAGTTACCGCTCCGTCTTCCCCATTTCTGCTTCTTTATATCATGTTCAGCTGTATTATGTGATATCGGATTGATCGGATCGGGTTCGGAATGGTTTGGTAGAGTAATGAGACACTTAGTCTCTTAAGTTGGTCTTTTAGTAGGAAAAGTCAACCGGAAGTTGACTTGTGAGCTAACGATCTCGGAATTTGGTTTTTATGATTCAGATAGCTTCGGGAGGTGATTTAGGACGTAGGAGCGTGATCGGAATGTTTTTTGGTAGATTTAGGCTTGAATTGGCGAAAATAGATTTTTGGCATTTTCCGGTTGATAGTGGAAATTTTGATATCGGGGTCGGAATGGAATTTCGGAAGTTGCAGTAGGTCTGTTGCGTCATATGGGATGTGTGTGCAAAATTTCAGGTCATTCGGACGAGGTTTGATAGACTTTTTGATCGAAAGCAGAATTCGGAAGTTTTTTGGAGTTCATAAGCTTGAATTCGGGGTTGATTCGATGTTTCGATGTTGTTTAGGTGTTTCGAAGATTGGTATAAGTTTGGAAGGTGGTATATAACTTGCTCGTACTTTTGGTTGAGGTCCCGGGAGCCTCGGGATGATTTCGAGTGGTTGACGGGAGGTTTGAAGTTGGAATTAGCAGCTGAAGTGCTGAAGCTCCTGTCATAACCGCACCTGCGGCTTGGGGACTGCAGGTGCGGGCCCGCAGAAGCGAAAAAGGGAACGCAGATGCGGCCAAGGGAATGAATGACTGGAGCGGCAGAAGCGGGATTTTAGGCGCACCTGCAATGGCGCAGGTGCGGGATTTTGATCGCAGGTGCGGTCTTTGGGCGGATAAGTGGAATTCGCAGATGCGCACCTGCGACCCCAGGTGTGTGTCCGCATGTGCGAGATTTCGACCGCAAAAGCGGTTTAGCTGGGGCAGAACATATAAATTTGACCCCTTCGCGATTTTGAGTGGTTTTTCACCATTTTTCATTCGGGAGAGAGCTTGGGAGTGCAAATTGAAGAGGGAATTCAAGAAGGTTTTGTGGAGGTAAGGTTTTTGGACCCTAAACTTGTTTCTATTGTGGTTTTTGACTGATTAAACTTGAAATCTATGGAATTTAGTAGCAAAAATTGTGGGTTTAGGGCTTGGGAATTGGAGACCTAAATTTAGGGATTCGAGGGGTCATTTATGGTTGGATTTTGGTATATTTGGTATGTATGAACTCATGGGAGGAGAAGGATTCTATTGATGTAATTTTTATCGGATTCCGAGACATGGGCCCAGGGGTCGGGTTTGGTCAATTTCGATATTTGTGATGTAATTTGATTAATTTCGTATGGGTTTCACTCCATTAGTGTATATTGATGGTTATAAACTGATTTCGGTTAGATTCGAGGCATTTGGAGGCCGAATCGATAGGAAAGGGCATCGCGGGCTAGAGTTTGGCTTGGGTTGAGGTAAGTAACATTTCCAAACTTGGTTCCGAGGGTTCGAAACCCCAAACTATGTGTTTTATGATTACTATTGAGGTGACGCAAGAGCCAAGTGACGGGCGTGTGGCGTGCACTGTGGGAATTACGGCCTGGATCATTCCATGGCCCCGCTTACTGACTCTTTCTTGCTGATATTTGTGTTGCGCTTATGTGATTAAGTTTATGAGCTGTAAATCATGCTAATTATCATGTTAAGGCTTTACGTTAATACTGTTGAGACTCTAGGGGTCGATTCTTGCTGTCATGTTACTTGCTTTATTGATATTTTATACTCAGTCATGTTCATGCATATTATATCATGCCTCAGTCTCGATTATTGTTATTTGACATATCATATCATTGTTCGGGCTAATATCATGACATTTTGCGCCCGTGTGAGTGAGACTGGAGAGCGATGATGAGTAAGGCCGAGAGCCTGATTGTGAGTGACAGTATATGGGATCGGACTGCACGCCGCAACGGTTATGTTGATGATTATGATAGCCGGCTGTAGGAGCCCCTCTGGAGTCTGTAACACACCCCCAGTGAGCGCAGTTGATGATATTGGGTGATGGATCTTCCCTGGACATGGATCTTGTCCGAAGTATTTATACCTGGAGATGGATCTTCTCCATAGGGCTGGAATGGCCTTCCTCGGTACTATATATATATATATATATATATATATATATATATATTCCGAGATGGATCTTCCCTAGGCCTGATGGCCATATACAATATCGAGCGATTGAGCACTTGTGAGTGGAGGTACACGGAACATTGGTCAAGCTATATGTGCATTGGTACATAGAGATTTTCCTGAGTTTTATACCCCGTACTGTGTAGACTGCATTTTATTTACTGTTGAGGTATTATTTGAACTGCAAGCATGTCTACTTTTTTGTACAGTTTAAATGTATTACCTGTTGAGGTTTGGTTCGTCACTACCTGTCAGTCCATAGTTTGGACTTGTTACTTATTGAATTGGTGTGCTCACGTTATCCCCTGTACCTTGTGTGCAGATCTAGGTATCTTTGGCCACGGTAGCAGTTGCTGATCATTTCAGTTGTGAACTTTCCTTGGAGATAGCAAGGTATCTTCCTAGGGATTGCAGTCCCGCCTTCTCCTTCCTTATCTTCCTTTTAGTGTATTTGTTGGCTATTCTTAGACTATGTTAGTCTTGTTTTATTTCGAATCGTTGTAGTACTTTGCTCATGACTTAGTGACACCCGAGGTCGGGCTTGCATTTTACGCTTTGTTTTGACTTTTACTTTATATCTTTTATCGGATTTCAGTTGGAAACATGGTTTTACTTAAGTTTTAAATGAAATATGGATCATTTGGAAATCAGTTGGCTGGCTTAGTTTCACGATAGGCGCCATCACGATCGGATCGGTTTTGGGGTCGTGACACTTATACTTTAATAGTTACATAGGTGGTTTTTATTTATTTCATGAATATGGCTAGAATTTATGTTGCCAAGTAGAGTAGTTCGTTGAGGTAAGATTTGTGATGATATACGAGGAATTAACTTTGTGCTTTAGCTCTTATTCACGTGATAATATCCAGCAACTTCTGTTTAATGCCTTGATTAGACCAAGTGACAGATTAATTTGTTAAAAAAATTTGAGCTTTCGTCTATTTATGTAACTTGATTTGTGCTTTTGGTTTGTCAAAATGCTAGTCAATTATAAGTTTTTCATCAAATATTTTTGTTTCATTATTTCAGCTTAGTGATGTGGAGAGCTGAGTCTACTTCCCCTCATGGATGTAAGAGTAGCATCAAGCGATGACAATGCAAAATCACCAAGGAAGTACATTGCACTTTGTATATTTATTTATTAAGATGAGGATCTACTCTTTATTGTATTATGTTTAAGTTATCATACATTTATTTGTATAAGTTTTAGTTTGATATGAATTTAAAATTGTGATGTTTGTTAGCATTGATATTTTTAATGGAATTTGATTTGTGAGAGTTATTTAGTAAAATTATATATTGAATCCTCGAATATAAACTTTCAGAGAGATATTGTGGTAGTTACAGATTGCCACCACTAATCCTTTTTTATTAGATTGAGATCAAATTGTGATGGTTATAAATTCCCACAAATTATTTTTTTAAACATTGAAATCATATTATGGAGGTTACAAATTGCCAGTAATTAGTTTTATTAACCGCCACAAATTAAAAATTTATTTTGTGGCGGTCGCCGTGGAGGTTGTACAAAACTGCCGCAAAAAATCTTGTGGTGAACGTTGTTTGACAAAAGTATGCTACTCTTTGTTAAACTAATTTAATGATAACTGAGGTGAAAGGTGAATCCTAATCAAGCATAATAATTTCTAGATCTAGTTTAGAGTTTGGGTGGCACTGTTTACCAAATGCTTATAACCGTATATTCCGTCATTAAATGCACACTTTTAGGAGTAAATGAAGAATCAATAATGAGTAATAAATATGAGGAGTGGCCACAAAAGTAAATAGGAAGAACAAATCACCCAAATACCAAATGGTGTGGAAGATACTTCCTCCTGACAACGAAGTATGGTAGTAAACAAGAATATGAGTAGTACTTTCTTGGATCGTGTGAGTGGAAGAGAAGAAGAATCGATAAANATATTTGGGTTGCGTGCCGGTTATTTGGATCCCGTAGGGATTATTATCACTGTTTCTGTGATTTATAGCATTTTTTCATGATATCAGTCCTGAGCTAAACATTTGTCCTAAAATGACTAGCAAAATACTAAGGTTTCAAACACCTAATTGATAATTACTGATAATTGGAACTAAAACTGGTAAGTTGTCTGTGCCTGTGTGGCTTGCATGCATATAGCTGGACTGATAGTGGATCGGGATGCACGCCGCAGCGTATGTTACTATGATATTGCGCTTGGGCTGTAGGAGCCCCTCCGGAGTCTGAACCCCCATAGTGAGCGCGGGTACCCAAATGGATCGGGCTACGTGCCGTAGCGGTCATGTGCATTTGCATTGCATTCATGCATCGAACCTTATCTGCTCTATCTGTTAATACTTATTGATGTTACACTGTTAAATGTGAAGAAATACTGTTGTAGCTTTACTTTGTTGTATATTGGGATTCCTTACTTTCAATGTCATTATACATGTCTATTACCGCTGAGTTGGAAGTACTCACTTTACTCCCTGCACCATGTGTGCAAATCGAGGTACCTCAGGAGCTAGTTGAGCTTATTGTTGTTCTTCAGAGTTTTCATTCGGAGTTGTCGAGGTAGCTGCCTGGCGTCCGCAGGACCCGACTCCTCCCCCTAGTTCTTGTTATTTGATTATTCGCGTACTTCAGACTATGTAGTATTACAGTATTATTATGCTATTCTGGTAGAGGCTCTAGACTCATGACCCCCAGATCTTTGAGAGGTTGCTCTGTATTGTTGATATTCGGGTTGTTTTATATCTATTAGCTATATTTTGGTTTCTTCGCTGTTAATGATTTTTAAATAAATGGTTTTGAGCTCTACGCTCGGGTTGAGAGTATAATTGGTCGGGCTTGCCTAGCAGTTGTGTTGGGCGCCATCACGATCGGGTTTGGGGTCGTGACAAGTTGGTATCAGAGCCTAGGTTACTAGGCCTCATGAGTCTTGAGCCGGTTTAGTAGAGTCTCGCGGAGCGGTACGGGGACGCCTGTATTTCTCCACGAGGGGCTGTAGAACCTTTAGGAAAACTTCCCATTCTTGGAATTCTTATCGTGTGTACTTGATTCAGCTTGAGATATTACTCTTGAAATTCCTTCCACACGTCTGTATACGCAGGCGAGCGCTCAGTAATATATTTGCCTTGATGGCTTGTGATTCCCCGATCGAGGGGCGAGATATAATCTCCGTGAGTTCATGTTGGGCTAGTCAGGAGGACTTAAGGCCGGATCCTTGCCTATGGATTGAGCATCGAGGTGCTGATTGTGTGAACAAGTGATTTGAATTTATATGTTCAGTGTTGTCCCTAACTGTGGGAATGGCGGCTGGATATCCATGTGATGAGTATGTTAGTACTGTGAGATATATCTACGTGATCTTGGTAGTGACGAGGGAGTCTGCAGGATAATAGATGAACTGTTAGGCGTTCGATTCCTATTGTGATCTGTTGTGTAGCCCCGAGTTATGGGTGCGTGAAGAATATTTTCGTATCTCCTAGTTGGAAAGTTAAGTGCAATACTTGCGCCGGTACGAGTTCAGACTCAGGAAGACTAAATTGGATGTATTATGTGTATGTCGGTGGAAGGTATTTTCTATGTGTCATGATTCGAATAGGTGCAACGCATGTCCATGTATCAATTTTGATAATATAATACAGGTAATATTGAGATTAATGTTGTTGATATACATTGTGATGTTTTGTCAAGTTGTAGCCGTGTTGTTAGGATGGTTTTGGTGATTCTCTGGCAGGTGGATAGGCCCAATTACAAAGGAAACTCTGCCGAAATTTTTGAAAAAAAAAAAAATTGGGACTTAGTAAAAATTTGGTCGCCTAGAGAGTAGGCTTAACTGTTATGTGAGTGAATGCAAGAAAATGCAGAAGAGTTAAAATTCCAGATGATTTGTGTTTCCACAAGCTTATGAAAGAGTAAGTTTAATCTCACTATGGTATTACGACAGCACTGGAGCACATGCGTTATGAGTATGGTGTGTTGTGATATATGGCTTCGAGCTAAGTTGGGGAGGTTGCTGTTGATTAGTTGATTGTATAGTTATGTACTATGTTAGTTCTGATTTGATGCATGCTGGTGAATCAGTTCTGATTGCGGAAATTGGGTCGAGAATGGCACGAGTGAAGGGAAAATTTTGACAAAGATGTCATGAGCTCGGATGAGCAGGAAAGAAGTTTCGATTGTTAAGGTAAATTGGTATTGTCTTCAGCGTCACCTAAGATCGGTGTTTTGTAAAAAGGGCTTTGCGTCCTGGCTAATGATTCTTGATCGCTCTTCAGCGTTAGTGCGACCGGTGGTTTAGAGGTACGCCCCAAATATTGTTGCGGTAGGTTGTGGGAGTGTGTCCTACTAGAAGATTTTATAAGTGTGACATGTGATCACTTGATTGATTAAAGATGTAAACCAAGTATGAAGTTTGAGATGATGTCGTTAAATTGAGGAATTCATGCCTGGAGGGCACTCGGCCTATTTGGTTGTGAACTGGGGAGGATTACTCCGATTGTGATGGTTGTTCTTGTGTGTTATGTGAAAAAGGGAGTTATTATGGACCCTTGACAGGTTGTCAAACTAGTTCATTGTGAGCAGAATCGGCTTGAAGTCGGTGGATGGACTTAATGTGAATAATGGATCTATATCAGGCCAGATGTGTGCATTTTTGTAACACGGTCCTCATGGAGGAGTAGTTAGGTTGATGCTTCATGGTCAGATATCTCGCGTAGTGAGGCATTGCGCTGTGTGAGTTGTGAGGCAACTCGAGAAATTGCTTACATGTTAAGAATCCGCGTAGGAATGATGTTATATGAGCAACTTGACTGTTGAAATCCCGATTGTATATCGCACCTCAATTGTGTTTGAGTTTGTAGTTTATAACGCTAAATATCCCTCAGGGATGATATTATGCACTTAGCATGCTCATGACCGATATTCGGTATTTTGTTATAATGAGCAGATTTGGCTCGACGTGTATCTCCTTATGCGAGATCTATGTGTGGATCGGATGGCACGCCGCCATGAGTGTGTTATTGGATCGGGTTGCGCGCCGCAAAAGTATGATATTGAGCATGGTTTTCTATATGCTATTTTTGTATGCCTTGCTTCTTATTTTTCTATGGAGAGCACATAGTAGTGCGTGAGTTAGGCAGTTCTTTTCAGAGTTCTTTTTCTTTTGTACCGCGTTCATATCGGTAGCCTATCGGCGCTTGGTGGCATCATATACGACTTATAATTATGTCTAGAGTGGCTTATTGCCCGAACTGTTCGTACTGGTAAGACGAGATCATTGAATTTGAGATCAGTGCAATCTGAGTATATGAAGTAAAATTAAAGAGCTAAGACCATTGTTTGGCTCAGAATGAGGTGATAGTTCTTGCCAAGAGTATAGAACTAATGAATTGTTGTTTCGGTAGTAGTTATGAATGTGTACAGGTCTCATCCGTCGTGTCAGTATTGTAAGAATTTGAACAAGACCTGTGTATGTCATGCAGAGCATGGGATGTGTAGTGATTTCCTCCTAAGTGATTAGATAAATGATCTTCGGATGATTGGGGAAAATGATATTGCTAAGTGGAAGTGATTTGATGAGAGTACATGTCTCAGAAAAAGGTAATGTGATTAAACTGATTATATTTCGGCAGTAGTGCGGCATGTTCTTATTGGGTCCACTGGTGGTATTCGAGTTTGCTCGGTAGCACAGGTAAATATCGAGTATCTGTCGTGGAATAAGGGAGTATCAAATGTGTGCATGTATTCGCACGGTGGAAACTGAGATCAGGTATGATGATTTGTGTGTTATATGGAGTTCTGATGTACAGGCTATGTTGTGATGTTGGAATTCAGACTGGTTCTCTTAGTGTTGGAAGATTTTGAACTATTGCATTATGGGCTATGTCGGAAAATGCCACAGGCTGCGTGGCAAGGTGCATTAGACTATGTTCTAGTAGAATGGTTTATATTTCAAGGACTAGCGGATGGCTGGAAAGGATTGATGTTCTTGATTGAGCCTTCGTGGCAGATGCCAGTGCAGGGGCTTCTACCATTGATTCAGTTCCAGTATTGAGGGACTGTTCGGATGCATTTCTTGTGGCCGGACATATCGCCGGGTGAGATTGTGGATTTCGGTACATAATTGGTGCCGGACACCGTATCGTACGGCTCCGGCAGGGGTTATAGTAGTGGAAGGAGCAGCCTCGGACTTCTTAGTATTGAGTTCGTAGGCAGGCCAGCGTGGCTACGTATGTAGCTTGAGTTAGCTTGGTTAGTCCCAAGTTGAATTGTTGAGGGACAGGTTAATTCGATCGTTATTGAATTTGTCAG